TCATGATCAGCATTCGTCATGGGAACGTATGTTTATAAAGGGGTTTGCGGATTTCTGCTCAGCGAGAAGTATAAACAAGAGTCTTCAATTAACAAGAGGCATAATAAGGCCATAACTTAAATACACAGCGCATCATGCCAAATACCATTAGAATCAAATGCGCTTCGTTGTCATTGTTGCGTCAAACTTTAAGCAGAGTACGGCTCATATATTCTGTTGCTTAGGGGCAGTGTGGAAGAGAGCACCGCGGAGGAATTCAGTTCAACCGTTGGCAGATTACCGTACTCTCCGTTCTAGCCATAGAGAACAACTTCGGTCGTATCTTAGCTAACTAATCGTCGCAATGCTTGATCAGTGGTTGCTTGGCTTCTTCATATGTTCGTTGTGATCGTTGCTCCATGATCCTGGATCATGGATTCGTAATCAGTTTCAAAGAAGATAATTCGTGACTCTTCTTCATTCCTTTTGTGTGTTTGCTCTATCCAAGAGATACCACCACGAGACACACAGCTAGACTTTCTAATAAGCATTACTCAATATATTTAAAGCCCTATTTCTAACCACGAAGACACTAACCGATACCTTTATTTTCATTACTCATGTGTAAACAAGACCATTATTAGATTTTTTCGACTAAAATTGGAAAGAAAGTCCCTCTGAGACCTATTCATGAAAAATCTTTCTCTGTGAACCTTGTCAGTCGTTTCTCATCAAGTCAGGTATATTTGCTTGTGCAACGGTTATTACCGTCAGCATACGCGCGGCCGTACTCTGCGGTTACACAGGCCCATGAAATGTATATATGTTCAAATTATTGGCAGGTCAGAATGTTACGTACAAGTAATTGCTCTTGCAGGTTTGACTGTCTCAAAGTGCTTGCCAGTAGAGGTAGAATTAATCGCCGGCAGAGATCTGTTTGAGGTGGAAAATCGTTGAACCGGCTAGGGGTGCCCTGATGCAGGGACAAGTCCCGCTGAAACTTTGGGTGCAACGGGTGACTGCCGTTACCCAGCATGATATGACCCATGCGCAGGCAGATGCAACTGCTACTCTCACAATGCGGTCAGCAATCGTTTGAGAAGGGATTCTGCCAATCACGGCTTTTAACATTACGACTCAGCACGGCAACCCTGGATGACTCAGACCATTTCAGTTTTTTGGAATCCAATCCAAAATGCCTTTAGTCAGCGATGATCAATTTTTCTTGCAAAATGCTCAAATCTTCGCCATTTTAACTTCTTCGCAATTTCAGAAACTTTTCAGTGGCCTGTTTATGCTCCTTGCCTTCTTTCTATTTCTTCGTTTTCTCAATGCATACGTATCCATGCTGCCATGCGTAGTCCGTAGAATTTGAGCAGCGTTCATGCATAGGGTTCATGTTACGAATATCCAATGTTAGCAGTAGAGGTCTTGCTGGAGGTCTTAAATTTCGAGCACAACGGTCGTTTCCAGTATAGCAGCAATTTCGCTCTTCTGCATGGTTCATGCCAGTTTTACCTTCAGTTGTTTTCAAACAGTTCGCTCTGCGTTGCAGAACTCAGTTGATTCAGAAATACACGAAGCTCCACACCTGTTCCAGCTCGAGCTCATTCTTTAATAGAACGTATTTATGACCCGAGTATTCCTTAGGTTCATTTTTAGTCCTGTCCTGGTGCTGTCATCATTCACTTGTTGAATTCTTCTCCTGAGTTCCTTTGGTAACTGTGTAGCGATCAGAATATCATCGACAAGCTGTAGTTAACCGAAGTATTTGTCGTTTATCTTCAGCCCCTGATTTCCTCAACGGAGTGTTCTACAAACCTCCTTCGAGGCTGTTGTGAAAACGCAGTGATATTCAAGATGCACCCTTTTAAAATATTTCATGATTTTAAGAGAAACGGCATTGAGATATGATTGCTTTGTGTCTACTGCGCGGATAATCGTTAAATAGGAGTGACTGTTCACAGCGTCAGTTGTCCCAACGGTACCATACCAAGGTGATAGTCGGACAAAACCCTCTGGACAAGAACCCCCGGACGGCAACGTCAGATATTGCAGCATAAATGATTAACTGTCTGTAACTTTGCTCTTGCACATTCGCCTAACCTCGAAACCGATTGTGTGATGACTTGCTGAAGCGTTTCTTCAGTTTCCTTTGCCAATCTATTAATTTGTTCAACACTTGTGATAATCAATTTTTGAGCAGGATCTGGACCATGAGAATGATTATTTAACCATTCTACAAGCTTCTTTCCTCGAACTATAATTTTAGCTTTACATTCTGCCTCGTTGCGTCTTCTTTCACGCTGAACGGTACAACCCCACATGACATATTTTTCTGCTTCACATAAACATGACCTTCGAAAACTACCTTCTTCATTCGATTTTACAAATCCCATCATGGGTTACAATACTTGTGAGATACGGGACTCTCATCGGCAATGTGTATTCAACAAGATTCTTTTTGATGATGAGTGGGATACCTGTATTTTTCAAACGGTTTCTGTCCACCTGGGTGGGATGGGGGGGATTATTATCTTAGAACCTGCCGAGGTAACTCCCTTGAAAACATGATGTTATTCTTTACTGTTTCGTCAATATAAGTATAGGAGAGTGATTATAATTTGTATATCATCATTATGGACTTGTAATAGTACATGAGATAGTATTCAAGAGTCGATTCGCACACGTTTCTGTAGCAGCCTTGAAATTACTGTAGCACCATGCAGAAAACTGTAAACGCCTTTGATAAACATTTCGAAGGTACAATCTGACTGAACTTCTTCAGGAAAGCTACACGATTCCTCGCTAACATTTATTGTACTGGCTTCTGTGAAGTCTGTCCAAAATCTGATGAAGAATAGCACTGAAATATTGTTGGAAACGTGAAAAATAATTTTTATGCCTTAATTTTGTACAAAGGTTTGCTTCGCACCGTTTTTAGAATTACATTAAAGCAACCATCAAATCATTGTGGCATTTCATCCCTGAATAACGTGTTATTGTAGCATTAAACGTATTAAAGTAGAAACTTTCATTTAATATTCAAACTTACTTTTTTCGCAGTTTCGTCCAAAGAAGTTTCGCTTGCACGAACATTGGTAAGAACCTTCGGTTTCTTTGCACGTTCCATCGTTCTGGCACGGGTCGCTGGCACAAGATTGCCTTTCGTAAACTTTCATGCCTTCATAAAGTGATTTTTAAGAGGAGGCAAACAAATATCTTAGGAAGACAAAATGATGGTCACTCAGAGAGAGATAGAACTAAAAATGGCAAGGTTTCCCTTATGGATCATATGGTGAGCGCACAAATATGTCAACTGAATTGGGCCTATAGACGTGATTTCTGCTTTCACAATGCCATGAAACGATGGGTCCCACGGGTTTGTCATGTGGTTCATCTAACAGATAACAGATAGAAGTGAAGAATTGAAAACCGGGTTTCTCTGGACGATCAATTTCGATTCGGTATTCCGATTGCCATTCTACTTTGTCAGGCTGGAGCCAGAGAACGGAAAATACTCAATGTTGGAGGAGCGTTGACTTGCACTGAGGAAATACCTATGAACAACAGCTTCAGATTGCTCCAGGTATGATGTAGGAACTTCTGTTTTCACAATGGTGTAGAAGGGATTGTATTACTTAATACGACTATATAAAACACGCTATCATCTTAATCAAAACATCGTTCGCTGGCTATAACTGCAATCTACGAATTATACTGTGCACCAGTCGTGCACTCACTCTAAACTACAAAGGGAGGAATATAAATTGCTTCGCTGAACTATACTGCAAATATCACTCATTAGGAGCATCAACATAGCAAATTATACGATCAAGGATATTTTGAGTCAATTTTTGAAGATTAATCATCGATTGCAAAAAAAATTTCCCACAGCTTGCTTCATACGCCTTAGCATGTTGACCAGTTATACAGCAATCCAAACCTAACCAAACTGCATCGTCGTTTGATCTTACCCTTTGCTTGGAGGTTAATAAAAAATGCCATCTTTCTGTAGCTGGTTGTCGAACAGGTCGGCACAAAATCATAACTATCATAATCAACCTGTTTTGCTCAACTGCTGCATGAAGGCTCTACCAAAACTCTGTCAGACACTTCTGTTTTCTGCCATTTTAATCTGTCTTGATCAAGCGAACTTCTTCAGCTCTTCCTGTCATTCATCTGAAGGTCTGAATACGTGGCGTTTGCTTTCTTTTGGAACCGACGTTTCATTTTTCATGCAGCGCGTCCAGTCCATTCTACTTTAACTCCTTCACTTGGGAAATGACATCTCAGAACTTTGTTTGTTCTCCCACCCATATATTCGGTGTCGCATTTTTCCTGTTGTCCCCGGCATAAATCTTTCCATGTGGCGTTGAATAGTATTTAGCTTATAAATAACCTACAGACTTAAGGTAAACGTTCCGCACCATAGGTTGGCACTGGGAACACACAAGGACTAAAAATTTCCGTTTTAAACACAACGGTAGTTTGCCACATAGGAACATTTTCAATCTTCTGAAAGTGCACCATTCCATTTTTATTCTTTTGTTGAGTTCACAGAGTCGGTTCACCGTTTCATAGATGTGGTGTATCAAACTGACGCAGATTGCACTTCTTCAGGTCTAAGTTCACTCAATTAAACAGCTGAAGGGATCACTCGTTTATTAAACATGACCTGAGTCCTCTAGGGATTAATTTTTAGTCCGTTTAAAGTCTAAAGGTTCGTCAAACGAAATCTCCATTGGGAAAATCAGGGGGATGAAGATAAATGGGTGTTAATTAAGCCACTTGCGTTTTACTCTCAACATTCTGTTGCTCTCAAGATCACCAGAGGCACTCCAAAAATGAATGCAAGAGCTCAGTGAGTCCATCACCAATGACTGATATATGATTTTAAATTGCACAAATTAATCTTTATTATTTTTCGTTTGCATATTAACTCAGCACTTTCTCTGTGGATGAATCGCTAATTTGTTTAAAATCTCTGTTGTTGCTGATAGTTGTTACTGCAGCAAGTCTTAAAAGACAGGAATTTGAAACGGCACGATGTATAAACACTTACTGATTTCACAATTGGGGCCCGTGTAGTTGGATGGACATGAGCAGTTGTAAGAATCGAATGTATCGTAGCAAGTTCCACCGTGTTGGCATTCGCCAGTAGCACATGAGTAGATTTCTGAAACAGTAAATTTTTATGAAATTCTGTTCAAGAGAGAAGTTCGGTTGAAAAGACCGAAACCAGAGCGAAACGCTTACTGTTCTCGCAATAAGTGCCATTGAAACGAGGAGAACACAAACAGCTGTACGATGTGCCGTTTTCTATACAAGTTCCAAAATTTTCACACGGTAAACTGTCGCAGATCCTGATTTCTATAAATGATGTTAACCATCAGTAAAATTCGAAACAATATGAAGTGGCCCTAATTGAAGTAGTTAATATAAGATTGAACTTCGAATTATTCTAAAATCAAATATTTTTCATGGTCCTCGTAGTTCATATCAGTGTTCCAATATCTTCTACACTGTTTATTTGCCGCAAAAGCATTACAACGAAATATAAGTATGGGATAAAATAGGAAAATGTGAAAAAAAAATGAAAGGCATAAGAAATGAAGGAAGAAATGGATGAGAAATCGTTAAAATAAACAAAAAGAATAGAAAACGAAAAAAACAAGGGCGGATAAAAGGAGAGCAGATAATAGAAAAACAAAATTATTTCGAATGACATCCCAACTATCTTTGAATGTCTGCCCTTTGAAGCTGAATTCACTGTCTACAGAAGATGCACAAATGTTTAATGAAGGCGGATGCGCGTATCGTGATGACGTCATTGTCGTTAACACAGTTTAAGATCTGGACTTTTTTGCTGCCAATGCGAGGTAGGCTTTCAAACGAATGCTTCACTTCGAAAGTTGAGGCTTTTCATTTTCGTGCTCAAAATCTGCGATACCTTATCTTAGATCGGTTTTCCCATAGTTTTAATTGTTTTTGTGACACTGATTTAAATCTTTCGAAACTTTCGCAATCCATCTGGTAAAAAGTTCACTTTGAAGCAGGTCGTCCATTATAAAATGTCGCCATAAAAGATGCTGCGCATGGTGATGCCTTTGTTTATAGATCGCATTGAATCCGACCATTGGTAAATAGCGACAAAGGAGTGGAAATAAATGCAGACTAAATGGTAAAGAAAATGTTTCCGCGATGTTGAGGAGGGAAGTGAAGATTTAAACCGAATAAAAGAGATGATGCTGGCAAAGTCCATGATCATAGCTATTATATTTAAGAATGTGTGACAGATTTTGGATCTCAATTCTACATACTGATTGCAATCAAAAGTCGCTCTTCTACGCATCTTGATAGGCTTTTCAGCGAAATATTGTTGGCAGAGACATCGGAGATCGTGGATATATGAAGCGATGGCACTTCTGTTCCTTGCGGACAACGGAAACAGAGGAAAATATTTTTTACATTTTTCATTTTCATGTAATATTTTGCTCTTCTTCGACTCTTTCCTGTTCTCATAGTCAAATTGACTGAATTAAAGTTATTCACGAAAATGGATAAATTTGCTGTTGCAAAATATTTCGCCTTTGGAATGACGGAGATGTTGGACAACTTTAGTGTCTTTAACCATTCAGCTAAAAGTCATTTTATTCTGTATTGACCGTAAATCGGTAAGAATTTAACTTGACGCAATGAAGCATTACGTATATTCAGTAATTGTATATTATACATTTTTGAGTTTTACACTTAGTCTGATTTTACTCTGCTATCAGGACAGTCAAAGATAGATTACCGCAAATTGCACGCATCAAACCATTATTTGACTTATCCTACGCTATTGTATACCACACCAGGGCATCTTGCTTTTAATTTTATTCGCAAGCCAACGGCTTTTTTCTTCCCTGTCTGGGTGCACCAGATCACGGAAGAACACATTATTTGCCTAAGGCAGTTGGCAGTTATTCTTCTTTTTCCCAGTATGTTCCCTTTCACAGGGGTCTGTAAATCGAGTCAACCTCCTCCACATTTTTCAGTCGTTAGTTATATCTTTAGAAAATCCTCGCAGTTTCAAATCGTTCTTAACGACATCGCGCCACCTTTTCTTCAGTTTTCCCCTTCTTTTCTTTCCCGGAAGTATTAGTGTTTGAGCCACATTTGCATCGTACTCGACGGGTCTTCTTTTCACGTGACCAGACAAGCGGAGCCTGCCTTCTGCAAGCTTTACTGAAACTGGTATTACCTCTAGAGTGCTTCTCATGATGCTGTTTCAAATGTGGTTCTTTTTGCTGACACTAAACACCCATCTGAGCATTCGTGTTTCTACCGAATTCAGCTGTTGCTCATGTCTCTTCAGTGTAGCCAGATATTCCCATCCGTACAGAAGCACCGGTCTTACTATCGTTCAGTGCACCTTCCTTTTCAGTCTTATGGGCATCATCTTGTCGCACACTACTCTACCCAATTCTCTACAAGCCTTTTCGACCGATTTCTTAAGTCGCTGTCCACCCACTTCCGCATTACTTTCCAGGATGTAACCAAGGCAGTTGAGTTCCTGGGTTCAGCACGCCCCCACCCCCGCTTCTTTGACTGGTTTGGGGGCTTTCAATCTGCTCTGCCCGCTGAAACGGCCCGCCATGTATTCTGACGTGCCTTTGCTGATTTAAAGGCCGTTCCTTTTAAAGGCTGTTCAATATGCCTCAGTTTTTGATTCTACAGCTTCTCTGCTTTCGCTGCGTGGCACGTCATCTGCAGAGAGCATCCAGTATGAGGCTGGTTCCTGCAGATCCTCAGTTACCGCGTCTATTTCCATCAAAAACAGAAATGGGCCCAGTGCGGATCCTTGATGAATTACTACCCGCACGGGCAACTCTGCCGTTTCGCCGCATGTGCTTCGGAAGATCGCTGTCACTCGGTCGTACATGTCTTTGGTAAGCCTGACATTTTTCGGGCACAGGCGTGTTTCTCATGCTCCTCCAGATTGCATACCTCAGGATTCGGTCAAAGGCTTTCTCCATTTCAAAAGACATGTGAATGTCTTGTCTGCCTTCTTTGTATACTTCGAGGACTAATATTAAAACGTAGAAAGCATCCGTGCTCATCTGACCTGACATAAAGCCAAATTAATTCGCGGTGATGCCGACCTCCTTCCTCAGCCTTTTGTCCAGCACCCTCTCATATAGCTTGATGACTTCATGGTGTGACTAAGCAGTTTAACTGCCCAGTAGGTTTCACAGGTGAGCACGTCCCCTTTCGTTTTGTACGCTGGAATTAAAATACTCTGCCTCCATGGTTCTTGGATTTTCTTACATTCCATAATTTTGTTGAATAGACGAGCGCAGAGCCAAATCGTGCCTATTGCTCCAGTGCTGCTTCCGAGGCTTTTATGGGAACTCCGTCCGGGCCAAGGGCCTATTTATTTTTCATTCTGCTCAAGGCTTGTTCAGCTTACTCCTGTGAGATCTTTCCGACCAGACCGTGGTTTTATGCAATCTCTTCCGCGACTTTTCTTGGATGCTCTTTGTTTAGTAGCATTTGGAAATGCCTTCACCATCTGTTGCGAATATTCTTCTCATCGGTCAGCTCCATTCTGCTTTCGTCTTTTATGCACTTCATTATACGGACTCTCTCGTTCTTCTTCCTCTGCTTTTGCGGGGCAATAGATGTCTTTCGCCCCTTCTTCCTTTGTCATATTTTTCATACATCCACACTATAGACTTAGCTTCAGCGACGACGTTCTTTGTCTCCCTCTTTAACCTAGCAAATTTACTGTCTTTCATGCTGCTTGATATCTATCATTTCTTGGCTATCTTCTGTCGTAGGTTCGCCTGAACGTCTGCATTCCACCACCACGTTACTTTCAGACAAGTATTGTGCCTTTTATTTATCCGACTGGGCCTCTGCCATTACCTATGATTGTGTTGGCCATCCGCTCCCATATTTCCTCCACTTTCCTTTTCCAGTCTACCTTCCTCACTTTTCTTGTAACGCCCATTTTGAACGCTTCTTTCAGCTTCCTTTTGACCTTCCACCACTGTATCTACGTGTCCCCTACCCATCTGAAAGGACCGTTTCAGAGACAGGTCTAGAACCTGTAGCTTGCATTGGTTTTGTGACAGTTTCCCGGTCGTAATCTTGCAATTTCTGACGTTCTTAACTTCGTCCCTTCGGGGTAGAAAGTACTCGATCTTACTTTTTTGCCCGCTCCTGTAGGTTAGCAGGTGGTTTACTCTTTTCTGGAAAAGCGTGCCTATCAGCGCCAGATGATGTGCAGCTGCCACTACCAGATGTTCTCTCCTTCTACATTTAACATATCATATCCATTTCAGGAATATCTATATGATATTGGGATCCTGTCATAACCCGTTCGATATTTTCCGACATGTCGATTAAAGTCACCCCGATTATCGTATTTTGTTTCGAGGTATATTTTGCATGGCAATGTCCAGGCTCTCCCAGAATGTGGACTTTTCGACTTCATTCTAGCCAATCTGGAGGGGGCGGCGTAGGCACTTATTATATTTAAGATACCACTTTGTAAAGTCAGCTTAAGGCATACTATTCTGTCGTTAATTCGGTTGACTGCGAATACCCTATTTTTGGTCGTTTCATTCAACACCTCTCCAACTCCATTTCTCCTCTTTGATGCTCCAGAGTAAATAAGTTTGTAGCCTAGCCCAATCTTTTTCGATTTCTCACCTTTCCATTTTGTCTCCTGAATTCAACCGATCTGAAGTTTTCTTCTCTGAAGAGCTTCCGCTAGTTCCATGTCCTTTCCCATCATTGTTGTAATGTTGCAAGTGGTTGTTCGCCTTTTCTCACTTCGTTTTCTGTATGTCAATCTTTTCCTTTGCGGTTGCCGTCGTCGCAATATCTGGTACCCTTGCTAATTTCTCACAGCTGCCGGGATTTGCTGCCTGTAAGAAGTGCCCTGCAACTTTGTCTAGAGGTAAGTTGACTCATCATATTTGGCGGCATTGGTTTTTACTCTGACTTCCTGCCTGACGCTAACCTGTCTTTCCGATCCGGTCTGGGAACTGGCTGACGCTTGTTTAGGTTAGCAGCGTGCTTATTTGATGGCAGCATGTGCTCGTCATGTCGCCGCGCTGTCATCCGGGCCTGCAATATTTTCTAGACCCAACTTTGCCACAGACCCCTCACCGCATCCTCGTAGCACTGTCGTCAGCTTGTCCGCGACTGCTTATTCGTCGATTTCTCTGCTTATTTCGCAGCTAACTCTCACATCTGAGAGTGGTCCCACTCTCCGCAACCTGTGGACGCGTTCGGTGACATCATTGCCTTGACACTGCTATCGAACCGAACCGGAGTTAGCAGTTAATGGAAAAAAATTTACGCCTCAAACGACGGTTTGAGCGCGATCCCGTTACAGTGTACAGCAAACTACAGCCATTTAGCCAATGCACTCATGTTTCTGCTTGAATAAACTAATGATTGGTTAATAGCATAAGAATCTAGGGTGTATATTATTGCATAAGCAATTCTTCGATTTTAAAATGTAAGGATGGATGGAAGAAGCTGCTCAGCCATCTCCTTTGTCAAATTTACAGGAAAGTCTACCGTGTTTGACAGAATTAAATTAATAGAATATTAATCGTTATGCAAGAGGCTTGGTAGGCGTTTTGATACAGCGAATTACAGGAATAATATAAGTATGAGACTGAATCTCCAATTTTCTTTGTCTCAAGAAGATCTCTTTGTTAAGGTAGCAAAATCCCATGTAACTGGTGCTGGTCAGCCTTAGCACAGAGTGCCATGGTTGCTTCACAGTAGGCTTGTGTCGCAATGTAACAGAGTCTGTATTTCATTTAGTGGTAGGCGATTACTGCTGAAGAGTCTTCCAATGCTATGAATAAAAGAACAGCCTAAAATTACTTACCCATTTCGCAATAAAAGCCTTTAAACTTTGGTGGACAAATGCATCTGAAGACTTCACCACGTGAGTAGCACGTGGCACCGTTTAAGCATCGATTTTTAGTGCATAACTTCAGCTGTGCTTCTGCAAGTAGGCTACTTATTACTTTAAGAAATACAAATCACGAAGAATTACTATTTTCACAATGTTTTCCGTCGTATTGGAATGGGCACACGCATACATAAGTGCCGTCTTCCAAATCGGTGCACATCCCTCCATTCTTGCAAGGAACATCATTGCACAAGCTTAGTCCTGAAAAGCAATCGCTGATCGAATTTTAATTAGTCGTATATAGCTTACCTATATGTTCACATTGTGGTCCGTGGAAGTTTTGCAAACAAAGGCAATGATAATGACTTCCGCTTTCGACACATAACCCATCATTAAAACATGGACCTTGGATGCAATACCCCATTTCTTAATAAACAAAATCCATAGGAACAAAATGGCAGTTTAGCTTCATAATCGTACTTATTTCGCAGTAAGGTCCGAAGTGTCTTCTGGGACATATGCATCTATACGACTTTTCCATAGGGATACAACTGCCGCCCCTCACGCATGGCGATGAACTGCATGCATCTTCTAAAGCAAAATATGCCAATATTGGAGCTGTTTCTTGCACAAAACATAAGAGGATGAAATTTAAGTAAAAATAATGATGAACTTTAGTGAATGATTAAAAAATATCAAAACGCTTCTGTTGCGTTAGCGATCGTAAATAAATGACTGAGGTAAT